CCCAAGAGGATGCAGGGTCCCAAGACTTTGGGCCATATTCTGCTGCTTTGTCAGGTACAAGCAGAAAGCTGGATGGGAAGTGGAGCAGCTGGGACATGAACCAGTGTCCATATGGGATGCCAGCATAGGCAGGCAGAGGATTAGGCAGTTGAGCCATTGAGGTGGCCCTTCTCTGTTAGTTTGTACCACTGAATATGTCAAATATTGTGCAGATTCATTTGATTTTGAGCTATCTCTTTTTCTGTAAGTTTATATTTAACCCAGAGTTTTTGTATAAATTCTTATGTAAAGTTCTTATAAGATTATTAGTAGAATTACTTATATGTGCATGATTCAATTCTTTAATTGTCATTGCTTCTCAGCCTTTTGTCTAACATCAAGTGTAGTTCTTTAGTTGTAAAGAGGGTGAGAAAATTGGCCAGAATGACCACACTGTTTTCTACTGGACTTTTATATATTCACGTACAAAATTTGTGCATTTAGAGATTTGTTTTTGATCGTTATGTCATAAAATAGTAAAAAGTTCCTGAATTTAATTTTTAAAGTCTCCTTTTTTTTAAGCTTTATTTGTTTTTATTGGAATGACAGATTTATGTAGAGAAGGAGAGACAGAAAGATCTTCATCCTGCTGGTTCACTTCCCTAAATGGCCACAGTGGCCAGAGTTGAGCCATTTCGAAGCCTGGAGCATCTTCCTGGTTTCCCATGCAGGTGTGCGGGGCTTTGAGTTGTCCTTGACCGTGTTCCCAGGACACAAACCTGCATCCGTTTGTGATCCTGGCGCTTGGAAGAGAGGGATTAGCCAGTTGATCCCTTCGTGCTGGGCTCAGAAATTGACTACTTTTTAAGTGAAATTAATAAAGATTAAAACATAGTTGTAAAATGAGTAAAGTTACTATTTTGGGGATTTAAGTTTTAGAAACATTAGTATAAATGTTGGGGGTACATATTTATATCATATCTTTGGTAAGTAGCAGATGTTATGTTTTATGAATAAAATAATTTAAATAATAATTAACCTGTAAATTAGATTACAGGCTAATCCTCCTCCTGCACTGCTGGCATCCCATATAGGCATAGTTTCTTATCCTGGCTGCTCCATTTGATATCCAGCTTTTGGCTTATTGCCTGGGAAGGCAGTAAAGAATGATATAAAGCATTGGAACCCTGTTCCCACATGGGAGACCAAAAGGAAGCTCCTGGCTCCTGTCTTCTAGCTTTGGATCCTGTTAGGATTAGCTGTTGGGGCTATTTGGTGAATGAGCCAGCAGATGAAAGACCTTTCTGTGTTTTCTACTTTCTGTAAATCTGATCTGTTTCCACGAAAAAATAAATAGATCTTTGGGAAAAAAAATTTAACCACTTGTGATGGTGATAATGGAACTAGAAGCAGTAATGGGGGCGCTACTACTGTCACTGCCACATGGGTTTTACATCTTATTATCTCCAGTGGTCAGAGAAATGGATAAGGGTGGTGGATTGCTTTGGTAGCCAGCACTAAGGATATGGACCAGTAAACTCGAGTATATCACTACAACATGATCTGTAAGACTAGTGTCAAGAAAAAAGAATGTTATAAACCTGTGTAGTAGGTCATGGATATGCACATAATGTAGTAAGTGAATATAAACAACTGATATAAACAGGATGATACCAAGAGGTAGGCGTGTGTAAAGAGTATACACGAATTTTCACTGTACCAGTTACCTGCTGAGAGTAGAATATGTGGCACTTTTGATTTTTCCATTACACATTTCTATAACTTTTAGGTGCTTTCAAAGGCTATTCATTCATTCCTTTATTCATTTAAAAGAATGACAGGAAGGGAAACAGAGATCTTCAAAAGATCTTAGGTCTACTGGTTCATTCTCCAAATGCATGTAATAACTCAAACTGGACCAGAGACAATAAGGTATCCAGACTTCAGCCTGTGTCTGTCATGTGAGTGGCCATGATTCACCTGCGGCTCAGGCGTATTTGCACGACTCTGGATTGGAAGAACAGAGAAGCCAGGGCATTTCAGTATGTGATGCAGTCATCCAGACTGATGGGCCTAACCCACTGCACCAGAATACCCTGCCACTGAGTGCTATGGTTTTTTTGGTTTTGTTTGTTTGGTTTTGTGTGGTTTTTTTTTTTTTTTTTAGGCTTAAATGAGAAGAAAATGGGATGACAAAGTCTTAATAATTTATCTTTTACATTGTTTAAAAACATGTTAATTGAAAATGACGTACTACATAAATTTTAGCTCATAGAATTAATTAAAAACCATGATACCTTTTTTCATTAAACATTTTTTGAGTAACTACTCAGGTACTAACTGTGAACATGAAAAGAAGGCTGAGTTGTTGCCAGAAAAACAGACATGGAAACAGATAATTATAGCCTCACCTAATGTTAATAAAGAGTGTTTGCATAAGAAGAAATTGATTTGTGTTCAGAGTAATCTGGAAATCTGAATTGAAAAGCTGTTCTGCATGATAGGAGTTTGGGGCAGGGATTGAAAGATACTTAAAAATTGGAGGAACAGATAAAAGGCAGTGGCATGATTTTGTGAAAAGTTGATGGAACTCTTAGGTTAATCCAACTGGCAAGGATATGGATATTTTCAATCTCTTGGTGCAAAGCGATAGAAATTGTTTTAGTAGGACAATGAGTGATGAAAGTTGATTAGAGAACATTTTAACCAAAAAAAAAAAAAAAAACCCTGGTGACCTTTTTACAGAAGACAGTGGCGTAGATGGAGGTAAGTCTGTTTATAAGGAAAGACACTCTGCAGCTGGACAGATCAGAAGGAACTATCAGTGGGATGGAGTGAGTAGAGCATATGGGCAAGGTTGGTTTGTATCCAAAGTAATAACTCAGTTGAGGTAGGGAATGATGCTGCTTTAAATAAGCAGATAAAGTGAATGCAGAGTCCATATGCTCATGCAAGTTTGGGACTAATGAGATCTTTTGGGATTGTTGAGTTGAGGCTCCCAACGGCATGGATAGGCATCCAATGATGCCTGCTTTTCATACCTCACTATGTGTAGTCACTTAGTATCTTAGGAACTTAGAACATGTAAAGCAGTTAACTTGATTTTCAAAAGCAATTTTGCAGTTGAACTGTGTTAATAGTTAAAGGTAATAGCAAACCACTAATACTCAATTTGTAGTCTGTTTTCCTTGAGTTCCCTCCAGAGCCCACAGGACATTGAAATTCGCAACGACACTTGATTTATATTTGTCCAGCAGTTTTGTTTCCCATTCACCTGATTCAGTGCTGTATGTGATTAATGTAGTGTAGAGTTCCTCATCCTTGCTCTTGTGAAATCTAGGTGTGTAGAAACCATCAGTAACATTTCCTAAGAATTTTGCCTCCTCGTAGTAGACCTTTGAAAGTATAGTACCAAATTGCTCTGTTGCTTGTATTAATGAAACTGGCCTACATTTAGGCATTGGATCCTGAGGGCCAGGTGCGTGGTCAGTTTAACCAAGTTACCTATTCAGCAACACATATGAGGCTGAACTACCTATGTACAGAGAAGGAACTTGTTCCATTTTTGCACAGGAAAAATACTTAGCCTTTTATGTTGAATGTGGCGAGTGAATGAGCGTTCAGTTTTAAGGAACACTGGTGAGAAATCCGGCTGTTTGGGTTTGAGTATCATTTCTGACACTTGACTGGTTTCATGATTCTACATTACACTTAGTCACTCTGTACCTAAATACCTTGTTAGAATAAGTATTAGTATTATCCTAATGTTTACTCTTAGAATTTACTAAGTTAATGTATAGAATGTGATTAGAATTGTATCTGACACATGGTGACCACTTATTTCATGTTAGTCCTAGCAGAAAATATTTTCGGCATATGGTTGAGTAGTAACACAAGGGACTTCTCTCTTCACTACTGTTAACTTTTTTTTTTTTTAAGATTATATATTTGAGGGCAGATTTACAGAGAGAAGGAAAGGTGCAGAGAGAGATCTTCCATTCACTGGTTTACTTCCAAATGGCTACACCAGCAATGGCTGAGCTGATTTGAAACTGAGAGCCGGGAGCTTCCTCCAGATCTCCCGTGTGGGTGCTGGGGCATAAGGACTTACGCCATCCTCCACTATTTTCCCAATGCATAAGCAGGGAGCTGGATTGGAAGTGAGCAGCCAGGGGGTCCAATGTGATGGCTCAGTGACTAAAGTCCTCGCCTTGCTTGCTCTGTGATCCCATATGCTGCCAGCTGCTCCAGTTCCCATCCAGCTCCCTGTTTATGGCCTGAGAAAAGCAGCAGAGGACAGGCCAACACCTTGGGATCCTGCACACACATGGGAGACCCGGAAGAGGCTCCTGGCTCTTGGTTCAGCCCTATTCATTGCAGCCACTTGGGGAGCGAACCAGCTGATGGAAGATCTTTGTTTCCTCCTCCTTTCTGTATATCTGCCTTTCCAGTAAAGTTAAGTAAATCTTTTTTTTAAAAAATGGAGTTTAAAGTTCTCAGTCTTAGTTTTCTGTTATGCTTTTCTTGATGTAAGTTGGTCACATACATAGTGGAAACACATCGAGCTTGGCAGTTTTAGTTTAAGTGTGCTTTATATTAAGTTGAATGCTTATATTACTTTTGAGGATCGGAAAATATTTGCATGCTCTACTTGGTAAAGAACCTTGGAGTCCCTCTAAGCAAGAGAAGTGTCACAAAACTGATAGGATTGAGACAAATGCTTATGACTTGTATTAACAGCAATAATTACTTGAGTCATGAGTTTTTTTTTTTTTTGCCTTTTTTTTTCCCAACTGTGTCTGAGGATTTTATTGTTTTGGTGATTTCCTTTAGTAGAAGAGAATCGACTGTGTAGATATGCGTTTTTTTCTGAGCAGAGACTTCAGTCTGTTTCAGTGAAATGTGTGTGTGTGTCAGGATGAGCTTTCTGTTAATTAACACATTTTCCCCCCTTTTTTAGGTTTTCCAGATTAAAATAAAACAAAAACCAAAAAGCATGATTTTGTTTTTCTGTGTTATAGGTCCTCTTCCTGATGGATGGGAACAAGCCATGACTCAGGATGGAGAAATTTACTATATAAACCATAAAAACAAGACCACCTCTTGGCTAGACCCAAGGCTTGACCCTCGTTTTGGTAAAGGTTCAACTCAAAACTCTCTTAGATATTTTTTATTAGTATTTTGTGGGTGTGTGAATTTACAAAAGCATAGTTAAGTGAAATTGCATTGTTTTATACTGCTAAGAAAAAATGGCTGTCCACCTAACTTTTCTTACCGCGGTTTTTCTACCTCTCATTTTAAGCTTGAAACATTTAAGTCTAAGTCGGCTTTTTAGCCTCGGCATGGTAGCCAGCTAACAATCCACTGTGCTTTTCACATTTTGGGACAGGCATCTTTCAGAACTATTGTTCTAGCTGTAACAGTATTTGGACTGTCAGACGCATCAAAAACCTGCAAACGCAGCATTTGTCAGTGACCTGATATTTACTTATCCTTAACTTTTCAAAGTGTTAAGTGCTTTTCCATGCCTGGGTGCTGTTTCCCATCCTAAGTTAGGAAAACCTACCAGCCTAGAAACGTTCCAGGGTGTTTTTCTTTGCTCTTTATGTAGGAAGCAAAAAGAGAGCCAGATTCTCCTCTAAACTATGTAAGTAAATCACCGTTTTCCTCTTGAGAGCCTCGCCTCCCAAATGTGTACATTTTGATAAGGATGTACAAGTTCTTCAGTCTGTTTTTGAAATACATTTTGACTGTTTTCAGTTTCTTCAGTTGGGTTTCTGAGATATTTTTCCAAAGCCATGGAAAATGAATCTAAAAAGGAGCAGATAATTGTGGTTTTGAAGCTTTCGTCTTGGACTAGATGCAGCTAAATGAAAACAATGTGCAGATCACTGAGTAGGTCAGACTGAGGGGATGCGGAACCTTTGAAGCTTAACAGGGGTTGACCTAACAACAACTGTGGGGCCCTTACGGGAAAGAGGACTTAACTCTATGAGTGCCATCAAAACACAGTTCTGAAGGGAAGGGGGAAAAAAGGCTATGTGGAGTTAGTTGGGCAGGATAACTTCCCTGTAAGAAGCATTACAAGTAACTCTTCTATGTCTTACATGTGCCTTAAACAAAACAGTGAGTGTTCAGGTTTGATTCAAGCTTACTGGTTAGCTTTGCAGGCGGATTGAACCCCCTATACAAAGTGAAGTCAAAGCTGGGTCAGGGCAGACACTCATTTTGACAGATACCCGGTTGGGCTTAAATGCCAGCCTTTTGCGCCTCAGTACCTGTTACCGTGTTAGAAAAAGTCATATGGCATGTTAATAATGAGCAACTTCAGATTCTGTTTAATATTTGAATAAGCCTTTGTGGTTGAAACAGGAAACCAAGTTAGGTTAAAGTTTAATTAAAACTCATTATTTGTATGGACTAGAATGATAACACCAAATGTTCAATGAATTGAATTCAGTTTGTTCACATTTTTGGAAATATTAAAGAATGGTCCTGTGGCGCACCCTCCCACTTCCACCCTGCAACCTATGTTTATGAAAGATGATTGACTCCTAAACAACTGCAAGGGCCGGAAAATAAAACAAAGCTGCTTTTTTTAAAGAAATATTTCCAGTTAAACAGTGAAATAAAAACAATTTTGCTGTGAGTTTAAGTACTGCACAGCTTGGTCTTTTGTTTATGGATAAGAAGCTATTAAGGAAAAAAATTCCTCTTAATATCCAACATAGATGTACATAAGCATACAACTAGATATGCCAAAGAAAGTTTTCTGAAATTCTCCCATTACATTTAGTATCCCTTTTAGGGCCCACTGTGTATGTGTATTCCAGACAGGCTTGACAGCATGCCAAAGCTTTTTATTTCATAGCCCGACTTTTAATCTGTTCCAGACCTTTTCAGTCAGGGAGCTCAAGTGTAACTGAAGCCGGGGACAGGAAAGAAAAAATATGTGTGTTTCTGTGATCTGGAGTGACAGCAAATAGAGACAAGCTGTTAGCTGAGGATTCAAAGTTTTCCTTTAAATTTGAAGTTCTATACAATGGATTATATTTTTAACTCTGCCAAAGAAATATTAACTGCCTTCTTATTTCTGACCTTTCGAGAAGTGGATGGTGTGATTGTGAAATTTGCTTTCCTGTGTTTTCTGAGTGTGTTAAGTATTGATGAGTTCTTAGCTGAATCCAGTAGACTTACCTTAGAATGCAAGGCTCATACCAAGTAAACTTAATTACTCACCTCCTTTAAATGTGCTTTTATGTTTCTATTCTTTATCAGATTCTTTCATTTAAAATAGTAAAGTATAAATCCTTTATACTGTAATGCATTATATAATCAGGAAATTAAATAGTAATTTGTTGTGAATTGGTTCTTGTGGATCTGATTTCTTGATGTAAAAAACAATGTTTCTTTGATATTTATGTTGCTCATTTTCAACAAAACATGAGTTGATATCAATAGGCTGTACCAATATTTATGGAAATCGAAAGGGTTTTTTGGTCATTAAAAAAAAATCTTTTTTTTTACTCCATATGATACAGACCATTAAATTATTTCAGGAAAATAAAATAAATAAAAAACCCAAGAGATTCTTTTTTCCTGGAGGTTATGTACTGGTATATACAAAGAGACTTATCTTTAAATAGTGCACTAAACTTGGAGCAGTTACTTGTTTTATGTAGTATAGTACTATTTCTAGTAAGAGACTAAATGAAAACAATGGAATTGGAATAATTCCTGTTTGGAGTGCAAAAAAGATCTCCAAAACACCAAAAATGTATTTAACCTTCTATACAGTGTTATTGCTCCTATTTACATGAAAAGATGTTTTTAACTAATGTAAGTTAATCTGTGGTTTTGGATACCAGTATTGATGGTATATTGATATTAAAAATATTTGGTGTAGAGAAGATATTGGAAGCCAGAGATTTGCGGAAAAAAATTACACCTTTGAGATTTTTTTTTGTAAGATTAATTTTTTTGAAAGTCAGATATACAGAGAGGAGAGATAGAGGGGAAGATTTTCTGTCTGTTAATACACTCCCCAAGCGACTGCAACGGCCAGAGCTTTGCCAGTCTGCAGCCAGGAGCCCAGAACCTCTGCGTCTCCCATGTGGGTTCAGGGTTCTAAGGCTTTGGCCCATCCTCGATTATTTTCTCAGGCCACAAGCAGAGAGCTGGATGGGAAGCAGGGGCCTCTGGGATTAGAACCAGTTGCCATGTGGGATTCCAGCGCATGCAAGGTGAGGACATTATCTGCTGAGCTACTGTGCCAGAACTGTTTTTTGTTTAAGATTATTTAGAGAGAGAGACAGATATCTTCTCAATCACTGGTTCACTCAGGTGAGTACAGGGTCAGACTGGAGCTAGGAGCTTCCTCTGGGTCTTTCTTGTGAGTGGCAGAGACCCAAGCACTTGGGCTGTATTCCGTTGCTTTTCCCAGGCTGTTAATCAGATAACTGGAGGTGTAGCAACCAGGACACAAACTTGTGCTCATCAGATTCAGGCAGCATTACATGCTGTGCCACAGCCCGGGCCCCAACACTGGAGTCTTTAAAACAAGAACAAAACAGAATAACCTTTAGTTCCTAACTAAAATTCTGTGCGTGGAAATGTCAAATGAGTTAACAGCAAGATGTTGATTTTCATCTTACACATACTCACATAGCTCATATAAACTACGTTGGAAATGTCAAAATACTAAGTGAAATCTGAAATATTAAATTAAGCTAAAAATTGTTCAGCACTTTTTGACATTAAATATTTTACTTGATTAAATATCTATTTAACATGTTAACTCTTGATGCTGGCCCCACTGGCAGACAATTAGCCTACTATGTCAGCCGGCCCCAACTCTTCTCTTACAAGTCAATATTTCTGACAACCGTTGTAAATGCTGTCTTTTTTTTTTTTTTTTGTATGAAAATGTGCCTAGTTAACAACTAATCATGTGTCCTAAACACATGGGGGAAAACATGCTAAAGGCAATAGGAACTAATTATGGACCTTCATTTATGGAGTGTTGGATATAAATAATTTCAACATCTAATTATTCAAATTTTATCAAAGCAAATTTCTTGATGCATACATTAAAAAGTAGGTTATTTTTCTTGCCAATTCTTTTGAATCTTTTCTGGTGTATTATTAACAGTCATTCTCAAAATTTGTCCTGCAAATAAAATGTTTTTCATGCTTCCTCTAATCGACATTTCCTCCTGCAGGGAAGGGGTGCAGCTTTTCTGAGCACTGCAGCAGCTCTAGCTACTCCAGTTCCTGCAAGTCCCCAAACCACCAACAGAGATTTCAGCAAGTCCTAGCAGAGGTAGCAACCATTCCCCCAAGTCTGAGGAACTCGGAGATCTAAGGGAATCTTAATCTGTTTTAGGCTATGTAGATATACATAATTAAGTAGGAAGATCAAAATCTTAACTTGTTATTTTGAAACCTGGAATTTGTAGAAAATTTAGACCGCATGCTATTCTTTCAAAAACCCACCTACCTAATAAACCCAATGTTGCAGTGCGGTGGCTCAAGCTGCATCTGTGGCATTGGCATCCCTTGGGGGAGCACTGCTGCAAATCCTGGCTTGCTCTGCTTCCGGTCCAGTTTCAGCTAATGTGCCTGAGAAAACAGGTTTTTGGGTGCCTGCCACCCACAAGGGAGAACCGGGTGGAGCTGAGTCTCCTGGCTCCTGCCTGACCCAGCCCCAGCCATTGCAGTTACTTGGAGGGTGAACCAGCGTCTGGAAGAATTCTTCTATTTCTGCCTGTTCCTGTCGAATTAAAAAGTTTTTAATTAAAAATCAGCACATATAGCATACTGATATGCAAGTTTTAGAGCAACAAAAACGTGCTTTATACGTTCATATCCTGCTCTGTGACTCATCTTGAGGTAATTAACCAAAGGTAATAGTAAGATTTCTGACTGGAGCTGGCTTTGAAGCCATCTAGTTCAGTTGTCTGTACGATTCTGCTAATCTTTGTTTTTGAGATTGTCAGGCCTTTCCTTTGACTGGCTTGCTGTAGTATAAGGCAGTCCACTATATGTAAGAAACGTTTTGATGACCAGGAAGTTTGTGATCCTTTATTGCACAAAAACTTGTTTCCTTTCTCCTGTGAGAATGCAGCTCTAATCC